TATCAAAGAAGTATAGCCGTTACCCGATAAATATACAAATTTCATACACAAGTATCATAGATAGAAACAAATAATATGAGCTAGCTTGTTGGTCTTTCTTGGCCATAGAGATTTTATACCTCTCACGATGATTAGGGTTTGGCATTCCTACTATGTGTGGGTCTTCTCTTATTCGTTTATGGGATTTCTCTTATGGTTGTTGAGTTTGTTGTATATATACTAGTATTTTTTTTTATACTTCGGAATATATATTGTATGTATACTTGTGGTTGGATATGTCATCGGATTAATTTTTCTTAATGTGCAATTTTGTTTTATTATTTTCTTCTACTTAATTTTTTTAAAAAAGAAAGAGGATGGAGAAAAGGACAGTTAACCTTTTTAATTGCATCTAAGGTGTCCCGTGCATGGGATCAGGAAGAGACATGTTGTGTTGTGTTGTGCTTGAAGCTTGAAGCTCACAAAAGGATTAGCAGCGTCCTCGTAAGTCGTGCCTGGTCCCCTCGCACAAGGCATTGGGCTCCGTTTGGCCATCTCTATTTTTTTTTAATAACCGAATGTTCGGACTGTTGTGCATACCAATACTTTGGACTATCAATGAAGGAAGTATGATAATGTGTACAAAAATTGAATTGAGTCTCTATACATGCCCTCTCTGATGCCATTTGGCTTTGGTCGGCAGCAAAATAGGCAGTGGCGGAGCCACGAATCCTGTTCAAATGGGGCACCATTTCACAATAAAATTTAACAAAGAAATACTGAGCACAAAAATTTAAATATTCTTTAATAGACACAATAACTTGTAGCCTAATGGATTCAAAAGATTCAAAACATAGCACAAAAGATTAAAAAAAAATACTACTCCCTCCGTCCCATAATATTTGTCCGGTCCGCAAAACGAGGACTAAAAAATAATGCATTTCTTTCAAGAAAAAATTCAAATTTTTTTCATAAGTTAAAAGAACTCATCGAGATCTAGTAAATTGTTGAATTTTTTTCCAACTTTTCTTACAAAAATAGTATTATTTTTACGTCTCCGTTTTGCGGACCGGACAAATATTATGGGACGGAGGGAGTAGCAATTTGCTATTTAATTGCCACTCTGAAACAAACATTTAATTCTTTAAGTGGTCCATTAATTTGGTTGAAAACACGTGAAAACAAAGTAAATAATAAACTCTACCCAAAATTTCTCAATTTCTTTAACATTTTTTAAGTACGTAGGTGTACCAAACAAAACAAAACAAAGGTTAGATCCGTCTCCAATCCTCTCTCGTTTATACCCCCAATGATTGGGGACTACATAGGTTTTTTTTTTAATTCAATCAATTCATTCAAGCTCGAAGGTGAAAATTACATCGCAAAACACAGGAGTGCACCAAACTACCTAATCCGGGACCCTAACTAGGACACCCTGCAAAAGTAAATCAACACGAGGTGCCGATATGAGAATCCCGTCCAAGACAAGGAGAGAGATCTCAAACAAAATCCCAGCACAAACCATTACATAATAAGAACAAATGTAATTGAAACAACGAACTAAACACAAGAGTAAAGGAAAAAACTGCTCCCATGGACAGTCCACAGACCGCTAGCTGGATTAGAACGGATACCCATTCCAGCAAATGTTAGGACTAGAACGGGTTTTGTTGTTGTTGTATAACCAAATGTTCGGACTAATTTATACACATACCGACTAATTCCGAAACACTAAAATTAATGACAGAGTAAACCTATAATAGCCTTAAGCTTCGAAATGTTTGAAACATTCCAAAGCTTTTTTTTTTTTGCCAAAACGGTAACATGTGATATTATAAATCCAAGAAACAGTACATCAAGAAGAAACTTCATCCCTAAACAAGGGATCAAGAAACCAAATAGGAGGGGACTCGGTCCAAAGATTACACCCAGCTCCAACTAAACCCACCGCTCTAAACAGACAGAGCACTGCAGAAAATAAAAACACTCACACAGGAGTGATAGAAGCCCCACAAACGGAGAGAAATCCCACACAGGGACACCGAAGAACATAACCAGGAAAAAAAGAAAAAGAAAAAACCCCGTTAAAGGAACCGAACGGAGTCCACCGTACCGGAGCAGACTTCATCCACCAGCCTAGATCTCCCACTACAGCAGGGGAGGACACCTCCGGCGACCACGATCTGTAAGGCTCTACCTCCAAAAGCTATCGGACTACACGGCGGAAGAGGCAGAGGAGGGGCGGCGAATGATGGTTTGGGAAGGAAGAGGATGGGGTGAAGGGGAAATGAGAGAAAACCTCTGAGATCTGTGATCGAGAGATGGAAAAACCCCACGAGGGGAAGAAATCCCTCCCCTCCCGTCACCCATTGGAACGTAAAACCCTGGGAGGGAGGGGAAGGAGGGAGATGGGGGCGGCGGCTTCTTTAGGGGTAGAGAGAGAAAGAGAGTCGGCAAAACCAATTTATTTATTGTTGGCATCTAGTAATTACATTCCAAAGCTTAAAGCATATGACTACGTGCAATTCGACGATGGAATGACGTGACTATCATTGCTTGCAAATTGCAAAGGAGACACGTACGTCAATGGATTTTTCTGGGTCGAATAATGCCTCAAGGAAATGTCAATTGTCAAACAGAGAATTAAAGATGGAGTTGATTAGATACTACTTCGCACATGATTGTAACATATATAGTATATATTTATCTTGAAATTATAGAATTATTCACTTACATGATTGTAACATAGTATTTATCTTGAAATTATAGAATTATTCACTTTCATGATTGTAACATATTCCTTCCGTCTCTTTTTAAGTGTCCTGCTTCGTAATTCCAACTTATTAAAAAGACATCATCATTATACCATTCACATCAACTTTTACCTCCACTTTCCTTCCTTACCCTCTATAAAAATATCATCATTACATTTTTACTCACTAACTTTTCAAAATGAAATCTACTTTTAGGGGTAAAATGGAAAATTCACCAACTTTTACCCACTTACCTTACAAAATGGACACTTATTAAGGGACAACCCAAATTTATCTTGAAATTATAGAATTATTCCAAGTGAAGTGATCAATATCATTTTGATCGTTTTCAAAATGGGAAATCTGTATTCAGCGACATAAGCTTGCGACATTCCGTATCAATAGTGAACTTTCGCGTTCGGTCAGCTTACGCATAACTCGACATTTTAATTTGTCTTTCCATGTGCAACAACTAACAATATTCCCACCCTAAGATTGCTGGGATGATTTCTCTCGGCAGCAATTTGTCCTTGGAGCCCCCTCACCTTGCGCCAACCTGTAGAAAGGGCTGTGGGAAAGGCCGAAGAGATTAGATTAGGCCATGTTTTCACTAACAATTTTGGACAACAAGTTATGGCAATTTAGCTTGTTGTTCACATTAAGCAACAACTAGTCTCTCTCACAACAAACTTAAAATTTTTCACCAACTTATTGGTTAGTGGAAACAACTGGACATTTTTCAACAACTTATTGGCTGGTGGACACAACTTGACATTTTTCAACAGCAACAAGTGATCCTTAAGTTATTGTCTACCAGAAACGCCAACAAAAAAGTTATACATCCACCAATTAATAATTCTATAACCACATACACTTATGCACACAAACTCACTCGCATTAAAAGTGGGGTCCACACACAAAGCATGTGTCTAGTGTGTGGACCCCACACTTGATGTGAGTGAGTTTTTGTACGTAAGTGTTTATGGAACTAGGCTCTGTATAAATAGATGGTATTACAGCTGAGCCGATGGATTGTCAATTTTTTGGGATTATTGTTTCGTCATGACGAGAGGAATCTAAAAAGTAAAAAATTTCGATCAAAACCTATTTTTTTAATAAAGACAAAAATAAGCCAATTTTTTCGTCTTTATTCAAAAAAAATTGGATTTCGATCGTAATTTTTTACTTTTTAGATTCCTCTCGTCATGACGAAACAATAATCCTCAAAAAATTGACGATAAACTAACAAATGCGAAAAAAAATTGAATAAGGACAAAAAAATAAGCCCCTCGACTTAGAAAAACGACTCAGTATTGTTCCACAAGAAGTCTGAATTCTGCAACAACTTCAATCACGAAAAACCCAACAAATCCAGCAGGATTTTAATTAGATTCAATGAACCTGGACTCAATCTGGGTATCCCTCTTGCGAATTCTCAAATCTGACGAAACTCCGTGTACATTAATTAATTTATGGTCAAACGCAGAGTTCACATAGACGAACGTGGCGTAAGTGAAGGGCTGGCGCCGTCCCTATTTTATTTGGTTTTTCTTCAGAAAGTTTTGATCTTTACGCATCATATTTATTTACTGGTTAGTAAGTGATTGACTATGTGGGTTGGCGTATTGTTGCCCTTTCAGTCTCACAGAAGGATGATTTTGATGTGTTGAACGGAATGAGACACTCTGGAATGGTTTTCCATTTTTCACAAAGTAGGAGAGGAGTGCAAGTAAAAACTTTTTGAAAGATGCGCATTCTCACAACTGTTTTTATTCCCCCCCCCCCCAACTCTTCTGTTCTCGTGGGAATATATGCATGCAAACCCTTTCGCGTACGGGTCGTCAGCTTACGATTTTTGTGTCCGGGTCAACTTACGATGCACTTGGACTAATCCATGTGTACATGGCTTACCAATTCTAGAGAAAAACAAGGTGTTTGTAGTGGTATCTGCAATGTCTTCTACATAAAAAGGGCTACCCAAGCCTATCAAAAAAAAGAAGGCCTGCCCAATGCAATCCATGTGAACACCCTTTCGTGTCCGGACGAGCTTACGATGCACTTGGACTAATCCATGTGTACATGGCTTACCAATTCTAGAGAAAAACAAGGTGTTTGTAATTGTATCTGCAATGACTATATTAAAAGGGCTATCCAATGCAAGAGGCTCCGTTACTACAGGTTTTGGAAAGGGTTGGGTCCAACTTACGCACACCTTGACTTGCAGGGCCTCACTTGAAGCCGACAGGGCCCCACTTGAAGCCATTGAAAATGTTCTGCGAGGTTTCGAACCTAAGGCCTTAAAAGGAAGCAAATCCCCAAGTCCTAGGCCTTGACCACTAGGCCAATCCCTTGGGGTTGAATGTATACAGCCTTACCCACAAGCGGATAGGCTGTTACCAAGACTCGAACCCGGGACAACCGAGTCACATTGGAGCAACCTTACCGTTGCGCTAGGGCTGCCCTTCAATGCTCGTCTATACGAAAGTCAAAATTCTTTAATGAGAAGTAAACGGATTTCCTATTGAAAGCGAGATCAAAGTTGTATGTCTTCTCATTTTTGCTTTTGCAAAATAAACTCACTTAGCTGGACAACCCTACTTTTGAATTTTGCAGTTAAAGGAGCCATGGAACCATTTTTTCTTGTAACCGGATACTGGTCTAAGCAAATGACTAAGTGGCGAATTCTAATTATGTTATGGCATCTTAATTTCCATGGTCCTTCTCGTTCCTTGTTTTTACTTTGCTTTCTCATTGTAAATTGTAAGGTGCATCTTGTTGTGAGTTACTACATCCTTGTTGATTAATATTCCCTAAAGAAACAAAGACGGTAGTTTGCATTGTAGTTTCCTGCAATGTAACAGTGAATTTTTCACTCATGCACGCTTATAAATGCCGAAGGCTTCAAATGCCAATAGCATTTCAACTGCATCTACTGCAAATGCCCAAGTAGTTTGCATAGTAGTTTCCTGCATCTGACGCTATACAGTTCTCCAGCTAGCCATGACAATTAAGCGAAAACTTCATAAAGAAACCACATTTGAATTTGGGAAAGAAAAAAGAAGAAGTTCTTTCTTTTGAGTGCAGCGATACTGAGATGTGATGATTTGTATGAAGAACATGGAAAAACGGTCACTGAATTTACTATGGTTGAGCGCGGTGGATGAAAATCTCCATCATTTTGTTCGTGAATTTTTCGAATCTTCCACCCTCAGCACCACTAGAGCTTGCTTTATTTTTGAAGAAATTGCAACCAATTGAAAGGATAAATCTAGCTGTATCTCAAGGCTTTTGGATGGGGATACCTCATCAAGAAATGTCAACACCTTGGCACCACCCCCCAAATCCTTTTTTAAACCTCTGACCAAATTGATTTTACGGATAACAATATTATCTCCTCCCATAATTGCTTATTTAATAGCAAAGTTGTCTTTTATTTGATGAGCTAAATTCTAATTTTCCGGTTTGGGCAGTGTATGTAGGTGCGAAAACGATCTAGGTTCATTATTTCGTCTATGAAGGATACAATTTTCGTGCATTTTTCATTCTGTTGACTTTTAACCCATGTAAGTTGCTTAATATGGTTATATATACATATAAGCGTTCCATATCATAGCCACATTCTCTACAGTTCTTCTTACATGATCATAAGGTAATTAATTGCTTCTGCTGAGCACAGCACAATCTTGTAGTGGTCATGTATTTGCTCCATACTTTAGTATTTGCAGCTTTTAGCTCTTTATGATTCTGTTGAGGAATGCTAATCTATGGTTCCTTACTCAAGTGGAAGATTGATTCTCTTTACGTACCACTTGTGGATTGCCAATGTTGATGAATTTATACGCAAATCTTTTCCCTTGTCCTTTCCTTTTACCTTTCACAATTCTCATCAGCAGATAATGGAAACTATTTGATAGTTTAAGTAGCTACGATAATAAAACACTGGCTGATGTGTCTATGAAACGATCGATCATGTCATTTGGATTTTGACTTCAGTCCTTTTTTCCCATCTGTTTGTTATTTTGTTACAAAGGTGAGCATAAGTGCCTAGCCACAATGAGTGGCCGTGTGACTGATGATATAGAAATTGATGTTATAAGATCGCCCTCATCGCGCCACCATGTGGAAAATTTGCCGTATGTTCACAAGGTGGGACTGCCTCCAAAGCAGAAACTTTTGAAAGAATTCACATCGACTTTGAAGGAAATTTTCTTCCACGACGAACCCTTGCGCCATTTTAAGGACCAACCGAAATCTCGAAAGTTGGTACTTGGCCTCCAAGCCCTTTTTCCCATTCTTGAATGGGGGAGGGATTACAATCTGTCCAAATTCAAAGGTGATCTCATCTCCGGACTCACAATTGCAAGCCTTGCTATTCCTCAGGTAGAAAAGCTAATGAAGTGACGAAACTAGATTTTTTCGTGAAATAAACTGTCATTTCCCTGTGATCCAAACACAGCGTTCAGACAATTTCTAACAGTTCTTTCACTTTTTGAAACAGGATATTGGATATGCAAAGCTTGCAAATCTTGATCCCCAATATGCTTTATGTGAGTCTTTATGTAGTTTATGAAAAACCTAAACTTCCTTTGTCGTGATAACTTAACTGAATCGTATTTGTGTCCTCATATGCCACAGATAGTAGCTTTGTTACACCTTTGGTTTATGCTTTTATGGGTAGCTCAAGAGATATTGCCATAGGACCAGTGGCAGTGGTATCTCTTCTGCTAGGAACCCTACTGCAGAAAGAGATTAACCCATCTAATAAGGTGGAGTACGAGCGACTTGCCTTCACGGCTACATTCTTTGCCGGAATCACTCAAGCGACGTTAGGGGTTCTCAGGTATCCTGGTTTCTTGTTACATGACTTTTATGTGGTTTCCTTCCTTCGCTGCCTCTTGTGCATTATGGTCCGGTTTTTCAATTTTTTGGTACTCACCCAACATTAAGGTGTGTCTCGTATGATTTTTTTTCATCCTTTTTTTTTCACCCAATCTTCATCAAATTCTGATGGCAAACTATTTCCGAACAATTGTGTCTGGCTCTTTAGTGGAAAACAACTGTCACTTTCATTTTGGTTCTAAAGTGATATTCATGTTTGGTATAATGGTCGTTTTTTATTTTTGTTTTCATTTGAAGAATAGAGACAAAGGGCTGATCTTTGAATAGAATTGGCTGAGTTTGTTGGATGATTTATCTCGTGTCTAGTAAATGCAGAAATTTGCTTGGCAACCTGTTTCTGATAATAGAAAACACTAAGAAAATAACAAAAAAAATTAAACCAAATGAGTATTTTCAAACTTTGAATTGTCTTTGTATCGGAAAACAGAATAATGAAACAATTCCACACAGACTTCATAAATACAAGGAAAGGAACTTATAGGGGAATTCAAAATGTGAGGTTGGTCAACCAGACAAAGCTAGAACTCTAGATTTGACTGGGCATTTTATTTTCAGATTGGGCTTCTTGATTGATTTTTTGTCGCATGCCGCCATTGTTGGGTTTATGGCTGGAGCTGCCATTACTATTGGTCTTCAACAGCTTAAAGGTTTCTTAGGCATAAAAACCTTCACAAAGAAGACTGATATAGTCTCTGTAATGCGCTCAGTATGGACTACAGTACATCATGGGGTAAGACTGAGCTCCGTCCTTAGTTTTATTAAGGCACTGTTTCGATCTTGTATTTATGGGGGAAAAGGAAATGTAAACGTTTACCTATCTGTCCCATTTATGCAATCAAGATTCATACAGAATTTTATTTACTTTGGTTTGTATTCTTTCTATCCTTGCAGTGGAACTGGGAAACAGTACTCATAGGAGTTTCATTCTTGGCCTTTCTTCTGATTACCAAATACATTGTAAGGTTTCCTGCTCCCTCCCTTTCATGCCTAGGGTTGCAAACAAGCAGAGCTCAACTTTAAGGTGTTCGAGCTCAGCTCATTTGAAATCCAGTGATCTCGAACTGGGCTTGAGCCAAAATATTCGAGCTCAAGCTCCCTTAGTATTTTTGAGAGCTCAAGCTTGGTTCGAGTACTAAACCAGCCAAGCCCATATATACAAGCCAAGCTTATCTAGACTGGCCGAGCTAAGGCTAGCTCGAGCTCGGCTTCTTTACTAAACTAACGGTGCCGAGCCTTGAGCTGCTCTTAAACAACTAAGTTCATTTGCAGCCCCATTTTAACCCTTAATTCTCCTAAAGATTTTCTGTGGTAGGTAGGCTTGTGTTTAATTTCTTTCTTAACTGGGACAGGGAAAGAAGCACAGGAAATGGTTTTGGGTACCAGCAATTGCTCCACTGATTTCTGTTATTATCGCAACGTTTTTCGTGTTCATCACCCATGCTGACAAGCATGGTGTTGCAATTGTAAGTACTCATCAAAATCCTTTTCCTTTAAAAGTGTTCAAGTTTTCAGTTGTGGGTAATCCTTAGCTAACAATCATCATCAAAATTTGGAAGGTAAACCATATTAAAAAGGGTGTGAATCCGGCTTCTGCAAATCAAATTTTTTTCACGGGCGGATATCTTCTAAAAGGGTTCAAGATCGGTGTTGTGGCAGGATTGATAGCACTTACAGTAAGCATTTGAAATGTTTCTACTACAAGAACGACATATCTAATCCAATAGAGCTTCTAATGGAAATATTTTGGTTTTTTAGGAATCCACAGCAATTGGAAGAACATTTGCAGCCATAAAGGATTATGAGCTTGATGGAAACAAAGAAATGGTAGCATTAGGAACGATGAATGTCATTGGCTCAATGACATCTTGTTATGTGTCCACAGGTAAAAAGTAAATTTCGGCAAATAAATCTATGCTTGTGATGATCAACTTAACGAAGATTCCATTGGATTCCGGAAACTTCAATTATTTTAAAACTTATTTTGGCAGGATCATTCTCTCGCTCGGCAGTTAATTTCATGGCCGGATGTAACACAGCCGTCTCAAACATTGTCATGTCGTGTGTGATATTGTTAACTCTGTTAGTGTTAACCCCCCTATTTAAGTACACCCCAAATGCCGTTATTTCTGCCATCATCATATCAGCCGTGGTAGGACTAATCGACATTCAAGCCATGATCCTCATATGGAAGATCGACAAGTTAGACTTTATTGCTTGTATGGGAGCCTTCTTCGGTGTGGTTTTCGTTTCGGTTGAGATAGGCCTCTTGATTGCTGTAAGGAAGAAGGATTACGGTTTCTGTTTTGTTTATGTTTTGACCTGCATTTTCTTGTTTTGCTAATCAAGCATGTTTTCAATGTGACAGGTTGGGATTTCTTTTGCTAAAATCCTGCTGCAAGTGACGAGGCCGCGGACTGCTCTACTGGGGAAGCTCCCGAGGACTAGT